CACACACGCACACACACACACACACACACACACACACACACACACACAGGATGACATTTCCCACGAAACAATGAGGTGCGCAAGTATGAAGCGAATAGGTATCACTCTGACCAATATGTAGCAGCATCTAAAGGTACAATTTTTTCACACGATCAACTGTGCTGCGAAAGTTACAGTTATTCGGTTGTCATAGTTGCAGCATTATTTCACAGGAAGGATTCAAAGAAAGAAAGCAAACGGCACTATTTCAAAACCGTTAAGGAATGACACTGGAGTCTTTCAGAGTGCTGTGTTCTCTCCCTTCTTATTTTTAACTTTCATCAGTGACTTACCCTCAATCCTACCAGTCTTATGTCAATCCATTTCAAACTAAAATGGTATCATTTTTCGACAGTTTACTACAAGTACAATCATTTCAAATCAATCCGGTCTCCGGTTTACTACTTCTAAATGCATTTTTAGTCTTTCCCGGTCCGAATAGCTCTTGTAACCCTCAGTCATCAATTCCGTACTCGTCACCAGAACACATACCACCAAATACCTAGGAGTCACCATAGATGACAATCTACGGTGGTTTTCGTTGAATTCCTTTTCCAGTCTTTACAATCACATTTATAAGAACAAAGACGAAACGCGAAGAAATTTTTTTTCGATATCTCGCTTCAGGCATTTACATATATAGTTCGATTAGTCAGTAGATTAATACAAGGCCTAGGCTGATGTTAATTGATCAATCTACGGTGGATCCCTTATGTGGTAGCCTTTGTTGGTAGACTGCGTCGCTTATCCGTCCAGATACGTAAGCTACGGCAATTTAGAGTAAAGAATGAAGCTGTATGTTACTTTGTTTATCGATGCATTTTTCCAGTCCTACTTTATCGTTTGCCCGTTATTTTCCCTGGACTGCTTCGAAAGGATTGCATTACTCTTCGTCGCGATTGAGTAATTATCAGTCGAGTTTCTCTTATTCCTCTAAACATTCTGATCACAAAATTGTGTGTAATTTGTATAGCATTTCGTGAACCCAGTCATCCGTTCAATACCGATTTCGCTGCTTACCCTCCCGCATAAACATTTATCCGCAACTTGACGGTTCTCTATCTGGCTCGTATTCACACGGTGAGGATCCGTAACGAACTAATTTTGAACCTACAAACACCTGTTTAAGTTTTATCATTGTTGTACATGAATTTTCATTTCATTTTTTATCCCATTGTAACGGTGAACATATTTTTGACTAAAATATAAGCACAATAGCCTGCACAAGTCATCTATAATACAATAACACAATACAGCAGACATGGATATTATCGTGCGACAAACGCCACGGGTTATCTCTTACTCACAGTTCAGATAAGAGCATGCTGATCAGATTCGTTTGGGTAACGTTTCTTTCATTTGGTTACTTCACGAATATCTATCACGAATCGTATTGTTTCTTAGTTTCGTTAAGAGGAGAACCTACGATCAGTTGCCACACGATGGAGTGTGTTTTTGCTAAAGATGAGCCAGTCTGTCTGGATGAAGCACGTACCGAGGTCAAGAACGACATATCACTATCCGCGCACAACTCTCCACCCTGACCGGAAAGACTGCTCCCATCGTCCGAGTCGGTTAGTTGCAAGTCTTGTGCGACCAATTCGTCCGTGAGTGCCACCGCGGGGGGTTGACCGGCTGTTTCGCCCATGGAGAACTGCGATTAGGCATTACGGAGCGTGGGAAGGGAAAACGAGATAAGAAGACATGTGGTGCATGAACTGAGACTGTTCGACTGGAAAAATTGAGCCCAGCGCGCGCGCACACACATACACACAGTCATGTAAACAAATGTGTAGATTTTATGAAAATGTGACCCAATACGACGGATGATAAGGAGTGGGGACATGAGAGGCACAAGAGTGAGCAATCGACAGCATGAATGACTTGCAGACCGAGCAATCGACACAAACATAAACCGTTTTATGGCAAGATAAAATAATTTTCTTACAAACTGAACACAACAACAGATGAATAGATTTTATTGGGTTTTTTTTTGAGAAATGCGAAAATTTAACTCATTCTGGATCTTCAATAGCAACGGAGCTGACTGTACAAAGTGGTGAGTGATCGGTGTAAATTAGTGCAGTCAATTTGAACAGACGAAAAACATTTCGCTTTACCGTCATCATCATCATCATCGTACAGCGAGATACAGAGAAGTGAAATGCATTGATCACTATCAAACTCGCAATACATATAAAGTTAGTGGGAATAGGTAAGATAGACAAGGATGGGAAAAGAAAGCGAATCTGTCTTCGAAACACAGATTACACAATCTATGTAACTGTGCATAAAACTCGTTCCAAGAACTCTGGTTTGATAAGAAATGATAACAAGAACACCATTCCTGTTAATTTTCTGCACAATCCTTCACCAATCAAGAAATTGCGAAATCTCTCGGGCAACCACCTAGTAGATGACAAACACCCACTCTACCTAACAACTCTGTGTATTTCTTCAGGCTCGTTTTCATATCATCTGTTGATCTCCATGTGGGTCCTTCGAACCTGGAACGGTTAAAGCCAATAGGGCACGAAGAGGTAGATGACAGCTAGGTATGCGTAAAATGTCTCCTAGCAAACGCAATCTGAATTCGATTCGCTAACAAATTCAGTCCCGAGAAACTCCCAAACACACGACGATTAAGCTCGATGTTTCAAATCCGATCACTCCATCCTGGTTGAGCCAACCTAGTCAAGTATCGACAGCCAAAAATTTCTAGTCGATGGTTATTCTCTACTCGCAAATTCAAGATCACACAACCATAAAATAGAATTACACGATAGACTCAATGAGAGAACGGTGGCAGAATATCAGTGTAGTACATGGCGTAAGTGAGTTCAGTTTGTACAACCATTTACAACCATGCACACTTTCGTGCGCTGGTTTTGTTTGCTGCCTTTTGGTGCCCCATTTGGATAAAAGAGCAGAATGAAGATTGAAGTGTTGTGAGAGCAAATTCAAGCGGAAGATGGAGAATTCATATAGAGTGGTGAGTATCGTAAGAGAAAGACATAACCGTGATATGAAAACTGACATGTTTTTATAAGTCGACACAGAGTCAATTTGTCGCAACCAGTAGTGCTCCTGGATTTACTCATTATTCTTGCAATCCCGGTCTTTGTGAATCATCTTCCCGCTTGAATTTGCTCTCACCATTCCAATCTGCATTCTGCTGTTTCATCCAACTGGGAAACCAAAACCGGCGAACGAAAGTGTACATAGTTAATGGTTGTAAGAACTGAAACTGAGTGTCAATGTGAGCGAGACAAACCTATGACGTAATTATAAGCAGGTATGTCAGATTGAACCTGGCGTACTTAACTGACAAAGGATTCATAAGATCACCTAAATAATTTAAATTTAATTAAACTAACATTTTAAACCAGCCATATTATTGAACAATAGATAAAAAATAATACTAGTGATGAAGTGTTCGGAAGCTGATGATCAAACTGGATGACCAATGGGCCAATGGACCAATGGATGCTAGCTGAGCTGCAAAACAATTAGCAAAACGCGTTGTCTCCAAGATTGTCAATGCATGGTGTGTGTTCGAGACTCCTGTATACCACGTATGTGATTATTGGTTGATATTTCAGAGGGTAGATTCCTTGACTTTGTTCAATCACGTGACACAATGCTTCCAAGATTCCCGCGTATGCTGTGCTCGTGTGACCGACTGAAACTCCGTGATTGGTCAGTTTTTCAGCATTATTCTATTCAAAATTGTTCACGAATGCAATATCGTTAGACAGACAGACACAGAGAGAGAGACTCTGCTATCCGGGTGATATTTCACGTGAGATCGGACCCCGGAAGTGAGTGAATGCTGAGATAAAAGAAACGAAAACCATCGAAATGTTTTGTTTTGTCAATAAAATCAAGCACTGATGATGTCACCTCGGCTGATGATGGAACGTTTGCAAACAAATTGCCAAGCTCGGCGAACAAGCGAAATGGAATTCAGCTCACCCGAGCTGCGAGAACCAATTTTCAATATCTTGTCAACATTGTGAAGTGCATGCCGAGTGGAATATTGATTGCTAGTCTGATCCGCTAGGTCAGATCCCGGTTTAAAATCGGGCCGGAAACTCAGGCATCGAAAATGATCTACTTCGATCAATTAGGTTGAACTGTTAGAGAAGATACGTACAGAAAGAGAAACAAATCAATATCACTTTTTCGTAACCATCACGAGATAAACGTACCCGTGTTTCTTCATCGATATAGGTCACGTGACGATGGGTAGAATAAGCATCTGGAGAGTCATCCGCCTGCTGCATTCGATTGGAATCCCATCCAGGCAAATCGGTCATACTGTCTTCAGAGAACGAATGTGACCCAAGACGTGCGATCAGAGCATCTTCATGTGCATCGGGATCTTCTAACTCCTCGTCCTCCTCCTCCTCCTCGTCTGCATCCTCTTCGTCCCGTTCACCGTCCGAACGCACATGTCCCCGTGTTCGATGCGATCCAGCAGGCAGAGACGATGGAGATAGCGCACTGTGGCTGTGATTACTATCGTCACGGCTGATTCGAGTGCCTGTACAATGCAAGTGGAATGGGTAGAGTAGAGTTGAACGTAGGTAAAAAAACCTGATGAGTGACTGGAAAAAAGATAAACCATTTAGGACAGTCATTGTCACAAAACATACCGTCACGTGTGGGAGGTTGTGAGGACCATGAGGGTTCCGCGTCATGTCTGATTCGCGCAAAACGATCCACGGATTCCGTGATGCTTTCTTCATCCGTAACCCAGGGAGGTGGTCGACTAGCATTCTCCTCCTCATCTCCCGCACCTGCGTGACTTCGTTTACCGCGTAACGTCCGTCTGTTCCGACGATCCCTTTCTCTGTCATCATCCTCGTGTTCATCCTCTGCATCCGCAGCGTCTTCATACTCATCTCCACCACCAATATCATCATCTTCATCATCCTCCACATCGTCGTCGTCGTCATCATCATCATCGTATTCCAAATCGACTCCGTACCAAGTACCTGCAGTGCGCTGCCGAAGACTACGCCCAGACGGTTCCACAGGCTCCGCTTTGTCAAACGTGGCTGGTTGTGAATTAGAGTCCAGCGCAGCAAGATCAGCCTCGGATTCCATAAGTTTGGCCATTTTATGCGGTCTTGTAGGAGCGGTAGTGCACGAAGCACGACGCTTCACAGGACCTGTTTTCTGCGTCCCAGCTGCCGACAATTCTGACAGATTCACACCGGTCCCGCGGGTCCCGTCAGCGGAAGTAGACGGCATGTTTTTCGAGCTTGTCTGATCGAAACCAGTCAACTCCTGAGTGACAGATTCCTCATGCGAGCTCAGTCCAGCTTCCGACTGTTGCATTTCTGCATCAGGAGCAGAATCTGGTTGACTAAAATAAGGGAACGAAATTACGTGGAGGATACTTGGGATATATGGTCCAAAGAGACTGTGGAAAACCCAATGAGAAAATGAATCATTGATAATTGGTGAGAAACGCTATCTGTTTCTCTGGGGATAACAGTAAAGTCTTGATTTGGTGGGTGGCTTTCGATTGGAGTTAACAGATTGTCAACTGTTCCACTCTTCATTGCTGTCGGGGCGTAACTGAACGAACTGACTATCACTGAAGATAACACCTGAACAAGCATGTTGAATGGGCCATTCGGTTCAGCCCTGCTATGAGTTAATTGACACAATGGTAACTCTCACACCTTTCATGCGATCGGTCTGGAGTTCAAAACCCGGATGGTGAGACGGTGGATATGCACTACTGATGAGCTCTAATGAGAGCAAAACCCTAGTCTAGCGTTTTTCGAATACACGGTTCACTGTATGAACTGAGGGTAATGCGTGAAGGTGAAGTCCGAAAGATAGTCAGTTCAAATTAACCAGTCATGGTTGAATCAATCACATTCTGAAAGCCTGGCTTTCCGGGGAATCTTTTTCAAGTTCTTCCAAGCCTAACTGTTAGCATCGATCGGAGAGAATCAGGTTTGTCATACATTTTACCCTGGTTTGATTAACTGAACGTGTATCGAACTGGACACAGCACACGAGCGATATAGCATTTAGCGGATAAAAGAATGGAACTATCAAGAGATTAGGTTGAAACGCAGGTCAGTTCACCCTTCGGTGAATCTAGCTGTTTGAATGGAACGGTAGACGATAAACACTCACTCTCACTTATCTCATGATAACCCGTATATATGTACAAAAACTGCTCTTTCCTGTACTGGATCATCACACTATTGTGCGGATCGTGCAGTTGTGACGAAAATGTGCAAGGGGAAATTTGAGAACAGTAGTCACGAGACATTCACAACCTTACCAACTTAATCCGGTGGATGGTTGATGACATTCGAGAAAGCGAGAAAGCTGAACTATGGGGAAAGCCGACCTCTTCTTAATTGAGTCATTTTATAGGAACTTCAGATCATGGTGATCGAGGAGAAAGTTTGAAACGGATCAATAATAACCTCGTACAATCATGGTGTTCACAAAACTCCAAAGATTATTCACAACAGGTGAACAGTTTGTCAAAGAAGCAGGGACGAACAGATGATAATGATCAATTGTCATTCGAGAACTGGGTCTTTAATCTGATGCAATCAAATCAGCACGCATACAAAGGCTGATGAAGACCTTGTGCTATTTTCTCTTTCCTTGGTGAGTGCCCGTTGAAAAGCCTGTTATTTCATTAAGCTTGAAACCCACCACAAATATCGTCCCAACCGAACTATTTTTCTGACCAAACGTCTAGCAAAAGTAGTACAGGTAAACATCACAGGTATGCATGTTCAAAACCACTGCCTTCGATATCCAGGAGCTCATTTTCGTGTTTGCCTGCGCAGTATTGATCGGTTTTTCTTGAAAATGGACTGGACTATTCTGTTGTTGATGTAAAATGAAGGTGAACAACCATCAAAATCATTTCATTCCCATGATGAGCGAGCGAGCGAGCGAACTTTGAAAGTCTTTATTCCGTTTAGTTCAGTTTGAACAATCATGCACTCTCGTGTGCCATTCATTTGGTAGGTATAGTTTGGGCTGTTCATTTGGATGAACAGGAGAACAAAAACAGCAAGACTGAAAGTAGAATCGAAGAGAAAACGGATAATTTCAATGGACTAGTGTTGTAAAGAAACTGGAAAAAAAATGCACTGTTCACGACACTCAGGGACTCTAACCATCGATTACCTTAAGTTCAGGGTCCTCAGCCAGGGAGTCTAACGGGACCTTTGTGAACCAGACTCCTGGTTATGGTTCTCATACCCATGTACCAGGTCTTAGATTGACCACCCTGGGCTTTATTCCACCCACTATCTGACTGGGCAAACATCGCTCGCCGTGGCAATCTATTTGGTGACATGCGCAACACACATGATCCAACCAGCGTAATCAACAGAGGCCGACCACTTGCTCCAGTGGGCGACTGTAGTTACCAAAAACTCTGTGCTTGTCCGGTTGCCCCAGCAAATTAGTGAAATGCTGCGTAGACAATGGTATTGAAACACCGACAGGAAGTGCTGATAGAGGAAGGCAGCCAAAATCGACCCAAATATGTGAGTGCTAACCTGATTCTATGAAACAACTGACATGCACACACAAATAAAAACATGTTTTCGAGATATTTTATTAACGCACAACCGACAGAACGTAACTAATCGACGAAAAAGCAAACGCCCTATTGGACCCGGTACACACACCAAAACGTGAGCCAACTAGTACACCACACACAGTCGCATACAACCTACTTGCTTCGAATGTTGGCCTCAATTGTGTCCAACATTTCCGCGTCCTGTTCCAGTCGGGCTCGGGCCGCTTCAACCAGATTTTTTGCGATCTCGGACAAGGGACTTTCAGGTCCGTTGAATTGGATACAATTGGACAAGATCAGATCGACCTGGGTGAGAAATTCCACACGGGATCGAAATCGGTTCTCTTTGACCAATTTTTCCAAAGTGGACAAATCCATCGGATTGACAATTTGTTTATAATAGTCCTGTATAAGGAGACAGAGAGAGAGAGAGAGCGTGACGAATTATACACACATGAGGTTCAGTTTGAGCGATAGGGGAATGACGACAATGGGTTAGTCAATCGGTTGAGAAAACTCGAATCGTTGTTGATCATGTTTATATGAGAAATTCGTCGTGTAAATGAGGCATGAACTGAAAAGCTAGGAAGCACAGCTGGACAGCTGTTTCGACCCGGTTGGATCTCATCAGCACAGTGTGAATCCATCGACCCGACTGGGGGGGGGGG